ATGTTGGGGGGTCGTGAGGATTTCGATAGGTATCTGAGAGCCCGCTGAGCGCACTGGAGGTTCGTGAGTCGTGGAGGTTCAGGGGTTCGTAGTGTGTTGTTGGTAGTCAATATGTGAGAATGCACGTCTAGGACAGTACAGGTTGATAGATTAAATTGACTACGAGGAGCGAAAGAGGTCCCAGGACCTGAAGCTATTTGAAGTTGAGCTCGTCGCCTCGTGGCTCACGTGACTAAAACCACATTCACTATACACAAATCAAAATCGTCACAAAAGGGTACTCTAGTAAAATATTATACTTTTAAGAACTAATAATAGCCTTTTAAGAGAGTTTTAGTAGAACTGTAACGAATACTCAAACTGGCTAACTAAACTTGGCTGGGTGTTCGCTGGTTGGTATGCTATGATAAGAAGAAGACTATCGGGTTGTTCACTTGGAAGTGAACTCGTTACTTGTATCAAAGATGTCAAACTAATATGATAAGATTGATAACTAAGTTGAGCACGAAGCTCCTATCTAATGGCAGACGTGCCAGTCTTATATAGAACCTTCGTTCTCCAAATCCTGAATGTCGACAACTCGCTTGTCGTGCTGTCGCGCTTTCGTCACGTGACTATGAATGCTATGAAATCCTTGGATACTCAACAACCCTGAGTAACCACTGCTATGGTATAACTACTCTGGATGTATCTGTTTTGTCAGAATGCCGTCTGGACTAACTCGTCACATGCTAGCACGTGATTCGTGACAAGAACCTAAGCTTTCTATAAGCTATTCATTTATATTATAGGGCCTTTCCCTCTCTCTTTACCTCTATAAACTACTTATAAGTACTTAGTTATTTTCACTTGTTCCTCTTTCTCTCTACTTATAAGTACTAATTCGTTTTTATTTATCCCTCTTCCTTTTTATATATAAGTACTTAGTTATTTCTATTTATTCCTCGCTCTCTTTCTCTCTTCTCTTGCCCTCTTTTCCCTTCCCCTACCTATAAATAAGTAAACGTATAAATAAGACTTAAGTAAAGAACTATACCTTTAATATAAATTAAGGTTTTACGCCTACTATTAGTATATAGAAAAATACGCGCTAAAGATAGTTTTATACCCTAGGGTAGCTTATAGTAGGTATTAGATATTTCTATATATATCTAGTACCGAGTTCCTAGAGGGTAGTACTCGAGTACTACTCGAATAATAGTAATTAAATCTACTACTTAACTTAACTTAACGGAATTATCTAAGTATACTTATTTAACTTAACTCGAGTACTACTCGAGTTAAGTTAAGTAGTTAATTAATTTTATATTAACGCTAAAGTTCTAAAATACTATAATTAAATAGAACTTAATTAGTATCTACTCCTCTTAAATACTACTCTAATTAGTTAGAATAATAACCTCTAGAATTCTATCCCCCTGCAGAACTCTAGAGCCTTTTTAATAGAATATTCTATTCTATTTTAAAATTACTCTAGAATTAATTCTTAATAAATTATATTCTACCTAGAATTATATAGGATAAGTTCTATTTACCGAGTACTAGCTACTTAATTAATTATCTCTAGAGTATCAGTACGCTTTTATAACTACCCTTTAAATCGTTTTCCTACCTAGACGAAACTTCTAAATTCTAATAAATTATAAATTTTCGCGCTAAGCGTGTTTTAATCTCTACCTACTTAATATCTACTCTATATTTATAATTACTTTATATCTTTATTAACTCTATAGATACTAATAACAATTAGCTAGTATAGTATTCTCGTCTACGGAATCATTCGCCGAATTCAGTACTAGACACCTACTACGGCATTAGCTATAACAAATGTTCAGAAAATCGCGAAAGTATAAAGAGAAATCACAGCCAACGCTCCAGAAGCTAATTAACCTTGGTACAGATGTTTATAGCTTTTACATAAGTTGTTGTGGTTTTATTATAAGTATTAATAACAGTACCTAGTAGCTTAGAATCGGCGGATCTTCTCGTACACGACGAGGTAGCTAAGATATTGAGATATCGAATAAAGGTTCTAGCACCCGAAGAGGTCTTTGCTGTAATATACGAAACCCATGTTCAGGAACCCCCCCAAAAAAGTGTCATAATGGCAAATTTCTATTCGCTTAGCTAGCGATTAAGAGCCAGACCCCCTCTTACTTCCTGACTAGCTACAAGAAGAATCCACAAGTTCACGAATTCAAAGCAAAAGGGATTTCAGGCACACTCGATTATCTCTATGTCAAGATCCCTAGGCTAAAAGACAACGCCAATCTCACTCTAAATGAGAGGAGAAAACTCATTCTCGCAAATGTCCGTAGACAATACACTATCTACCAAACACACCCACACATCCCATTTTTATGCAACCCCCTTTCCATAAACCCCTTTATACAAAGCCCAATCAAATCCGAACGCCATTCAGTCCATTCGCCAAGGTCCCGTCAACCCCATTAAGAAAAGAGTCGGTCATGCAGTCCTTGGTGACACTTTCCAAGCAACCAGCAGCCGCAGCGACGAATCCAAGGTAGGGCTTGCTTGGTTGGAGGACGCGGGAGAGATACTCGGGGTGGAATTGGACACCGACGAACCAGGGGTGGTCTTTTAGTTCGATGATCTCCATTCGCTCGCCTTTGTCGTCTTTGCCTACGAATTCAAGGCCCTTCTTGGCGAGTCGCTCGATGTATTCGGGGTTGACTTCGTATCTATGTCTATGTCTCTCATTGATCTCATTCTTGTCGCCATAAAGTTGACGGAGACGTGACCACTCAGAGCCTTCTTGGAAAATGGTTGGGCGAAGTCCAAGGCGCATGGTTCCTCCAAGATTGGTCTTGTCAATTTCTGGCATGAAGATGACAACAGGGTCTTCACAATTCTCAACCAACTCAATTGAACTTGCCTTAGGGATATCGCAAACGTGTCGAGCGAACTCAATGACCGCGATTTGCATTCCGAGACAAATACCCAAGTATGGAGTCTTATTTGTTCGTGCCCATTCTGCTGCCTTAATCATACCTTCAGTGCCTCTATTACCAAATCCACCTGGCACGAGAATTCCATCTGCTGTGCATACAACATGCCAAGCCTTGTAAAATTCAGCAGGATGATCGGATTTGGCTTGGTCCTCAAGATGTGATGCATCAACCCAAAGGAGGTTAAGCTTTCTTCCACATCGCATAGCGCTGTGCTCAAGTGATTTAATGACACTCAAATAACTATCATGTAGAGTAGTATATTTTCCGACGAGAGCGATAGTAACAGTATCAAAGATACGTTCTTGCTGTTGTGTGAGCTTTGTCCACTCCGACCAGGTTCGCTGTCCCCGATCAACGAGATTTTGTGGTTTAGGTATCGCATCGAGGTTAAGGATTGAGCCGAGAGTCTTCAACAAACCTTGCTTTTCGAGAAGGAGGGGAACATGATAGGTAGTCGGTACGTTATGAACAGCCAGAACCTGATCTGGTTCAACTTGACAGAACATGGCAATCTTGTCCGTGGTGCTTCTCTCGAGGGGAACATCACATCTGCAGGCAATCTGGTGTTCATCAGTAAATATACATCCTGAAAAAACGGATGAGTAATTACCAGATCTGGAACCAAACCAGCTCTTCCAACATCTCTGATTGCCTGTTGAGTTGGCTTTGTCTTTTGTTCACCCGCAATTACTGGAACAAGGGAGACATGGATTTGAGCGAAATTGCCCTTTCCTGCTCTTCTCTTCAATTGTCGCATTGCCTCGATGAATGGCGCACTCTCAATATCACCCACCGTACCCCCAAGCTCAATAATGCAGACATCGGGACACTCTTTGGTATCGTCAACAGGGATCTTTGCGACTCTCTCTACCCAGTCCTGGACTGCATCTGTCAAATGGGGTACAACTTGAACAGTCTTTCCCAAATAATCGCCCCGACGTTCTCGCTCAATAACATGTTGATATATCTTGCCCGTCGTAATATTGCTCTCGCGAGTAAGGGTAATATTGAGGTAGCGCTCGTAGTTTCCGAGGTCGAGGTCGACTTCCCCTCCATCGTCGAGGACAAAGACTTCGCCGTGCCTATGATTTGAATTAGTCTTGAGACTTGAAACGCACACCAGCAGCGCGACTCAGATAGGGAATACTTACTCCGTAGGAGCCATCGTTCCTGCATCGACATTCATATAAGGATCAATCTTAATCGAGGAAACGTGCATCGCAGATTAGCAGTTTTACACAATGATGGAGGACTCTAGACTTATCTTAAGACCGATTGTTTTAAGGAGCAACCCCGCAGAAGATGCTATTACCTATCAGTTAGCTACTGCAAGTTTTGCCGCTGCTACTCTCTATTATTCTCAAGGGCGCATACCAATAGTTCCCTTCCCAATGCCAGAAATGACTCCTACGACGCGTTAGTACTCTCTCAAAACTGGTCCAACATTTTCCAAAGAAGAGTATAGGAATCCTTACCTCCAGATACAAGAATGTACTTCATCTTGGGTGGTTGTGACATGTTGGTGGCCGAACCTGGCTGTTGCCAGGAGGGGGAGGAGAGCAGGATTGAAGACAAATTTTTGAAGATACTTGATGGAGGGGCGCGCACGGTAGATCCTCGGCTGAATTCCATTGACAGGCCACCGCCACCTTCATTCAGAGCTGCACTGTGGGTTCACTTGGCTTAAGCAACAACCATAACAAACACCATCCTTGACTTACAACAATTCACGCAGCTTAGGTCTTTCAACCTCCCATCAAAAATGCCTTCACAATACGAAGCTAGCTCAGGTCTGTCAAGCTCCACAGATGCGGTCATTCTACACGTCGACTTGGTGGCCGACAAGCTTGAACCTCTCATTGATCGCCTCAGAAATGGTTCCATTGTACCAGGACAGAAGAGGAATCACTGGTGTATTGGTTTGGCAACATCACAAGAAGAGTCAATTCAATTGGATCCAAATACAAAGGGCGATTGTTCGCTTGATATCTTAGTCAGCAAACATCATCAAACTCAGGGAAACAATATCAAGCATATCCGATTGTCAGTGAAGGATGGGTTGAAGTTTTCACAAGTGATTGAGCTTTTGTTGAACAACAAGCACGATTATTATCGATTTGACCAGAATCATCAAGGGCTACGGCAATGGATTATTACCACGTTGGCATTGTTGTTTTCTGTGGGTTATCTCACGAACGAATCTGAGGTGAAGGATGCAAAGGCCATTGTCAAGATTGTATGGAAAGGTCAGGACGAACCTGTGGAGGAAGAAAACCAGTCTGAAATGGTTCTTGGGACCTTTTTTGACCCGAATGAGCTTTGACTGTCTTAACAACAGAGGGTTCCTTTTTGCAATCGCTGTGATTGTCTTCCATGGAGTTTGTTGCTATTGCAGATATAGGCCTGGTTTAGATTATCAAATTGACTCACATCACGCCTATCATAATGTGCAATGGTCTAGGGCTTTAGTGAAGTAATTAATTATTCTCTTGGTTTCCTAGAATCCACTCTTTAATTCTCTTGGTCAGACTCGGGCACCGATTAGATTGGTGGTATATCGAAGACTTAATGGCGGAAGTAAGCATGCTTTTACAAAACATTTGATGACCTTGCCAAATATTCCCAGAGATTTTCATTCATGTGACACATTTTTGCGATATTGTCTGTGAAACCGCTGATTTTAGAATGTCGATATATAACGATAAATGGTGATCTAAGATCTTTGCAAACTGAAGATGAGTTTTAATTACTGTGTCAGCTAATAACTATACAGGTGCATATCAATACTATAGTTCCGCAACCAGTCTCCCTTCAAGTCCGCTGATGACCCCTAACTCGTTGTCACACCAGCAGGTTCAAGAATTGGTGATAAAATGGTGGCAGGGCTATTAATAATGAATTTAGGTAAATGAACTCAGTACATGGAGGTGCTCAAATTATATGAACAACTACATATGCCTTTACTTTTTTAAAAATAGGTTATGATACTTCAAATGTTGGTGGAACTCGTTTTTGGTGCGACTTGAAAGTCTCTGCACTCAGGCCCTGGCTTTGGTTCTTCCTGTATGTTACCCAGAATCTAAGGGGTGCGTTTCAACGTTTGGAAATTCCTATGATCCTTAGCACTCGGGCGTAAAAGGTGTGTTGCACTTTTGTACCATTGGCTGATTGATACAAGACCCTGGTACCTGCCCATGCAATGCTTACTTTCGTGCAGAAGCGCTGGCCATTCCAGGCGTCCATTTCAGGTTGCCAGAACCTTGGCATTCTACTCCGTATCTACTTGTATTGCCCTTTTGTTCATTGCACTTCTGTCCAATGCACTTTGGTGCAATTGGCTCGCTAAAAAGATAAATATCATGCTGTATTTTGTTTCTGCGTCTTGGAAATTTCCAACTCACTTCGACTTTTCCCAACATCCTTATACAATCGTTATATTTGCTCTCAATACCCTTAACCATGTCCAGCTCTCATAATGAAATGATCGAGTCTCAATTGCTTAAAGAAAGGAAAACTCGACATGTACAGACATGTAACGAGAGGTGGTTGAGCGTCAAATCGGAAGCTTTCAAGCTTTACATGCAACGAGACATGCAACTTGAGGAAGTCATGGCTAGAATCGAGATATCGCATGGTTTCACTGCAAGGTAAGAAGCACTCTAAACAACTGAACACACCACTGATAATATTCTTATAGCCTTAGATCGTGGAAACTAAAACTGAAAGAATGGCGCTACAAGAAGAACATGTCGCCCAACACGATGCGATGGGTTGTGTCCAAAGATGGGAAACGGGACCATGAAACTAAGGACACAGACTTCTTCTTCAATGGTATTGAGATCAAGAAAGAGAGAATCGAAAACTTCAAACGGAGGAAAATTGGAGAAGAACCAATAAGCGCTGGTGAGACATGTTACGTCCAGAATACTTTTTATATATATTGACAGCCGAAGAACCCCTCCTGACATTACTTATGGCACACCGTGTCATAAAGATAGCGAAGAAATGGGGGTAAGTTACCACTTTGATAAACTGCAGGTTTCTTTGTGACTAACTCTCAAGGACTATTATGCCGATTCACTTCGATGTGTGTTGTCGTCGATTTCGATTTCAAGGGACGACGCGGGACACGGGTCGAAAGATTCATCAGATGTCAAGACTCAGAGGAATGACACGTCTACTCTGCGATTAGATGAAGTGCCGGTCATATCGATGGTAGCTCGATACCTCCAAAACGACCCAAATGAGCCGGATTCGTGGTCAACGGAAAATTACAGTTTCTCGTATATAAAGAATCTCAATGACATCAATATGATTCTTGCTCCAGTGTCCCCTTCCGCTTCCTCTTCAATTTTCGCTGTAGTCAACGCTTTGGACTCAGCTTCTGCAATAGATGAAGATGTCTTTTGCGACAAGCTTTATCTTGGCAATCTAGTCAAATACGAAGATTGTGTTATCCAGACACTAGAGCAAGAGTTCAAGCTATCGAAGATTGACAAAGAAGGCGGACGACGCTGCCTTGAAATTGTGGATGAGGAAGGCCCCAAGGTGATTGCTCAGGACTTCCTCAGTACTGTATATCTCAATACCTCTCGCCCGAGAACAGCAACCTCATCCTTTTTCTTGGCTCTCACCGACTTCATAGTCGACTTCGACTCTACTACATCCGAATCGAACGATATCCGCCTTGGGATAATTCAAGACATCTTTACTATGTTTGCCTCATGCAATTCGTCGAAGTGGGCACGGCTTTCTTCGTGTATGCGGCAGATGACGGATACAATTATCGAAGCTGTTGCAGACGGAGACACCAAAAAGAGTTTAAAAAGACTTTTCATCCACGGGTTTTCTTTCGCGCGCGAATTATCTGTTTTTGTCGATGTCGTCGAAATAGCAGAGGAGATGTATGAGTCTTTACTCAAACACTCTTCAACCATAAATGTGGATCTTTATGGAATTGAATTAGCGAAGGCTTATCGAGAGTATGGAAATCTTTTGAAAGGAAGGGATTTATGGTCGGATTACTGTGAGCAATTGCTTCTGGCTTGCGATTTTGCCCTTTAATAGAAACCTTACGATGGCCAACTCATCACAACTCTCGAACGAGATCTTGATAGTATCCTCTCGAAAGGTATTGCTGGATCCGATGGAACGGGCATTGTGCGAAGAGCCAATGAGGTGTTGAAAAAACTGCGCCAGGACCCCACTCTCGTACATAAAATTCTTGTGAATGGAACGGCATCGGAACTTGGAACGTTCTTGACATTGAAAGAACTTCTTGATCCTATTCCGTCCCTTGAATTTCAAGATAGAACTGTTCTCACTTCAACCGCGAGTAAGAGTGCGAGCCTAAGTCACAAACACGGACTCGTGACTTACCCCGATAGCGATATGACAGGAATAACTAACTCTGTATTTATGGTGCCTTAGCTTTCTTATTAGTCCTTTTCCCCTACTTTTCTTATTGAGTCCCTTACGGGAAAAAGTAGGAGGAAATTTGGTGATGGAGTTTGGGGAGAAAACGGCTGCAATTTCGTTCTTTGGACAGTCTTATTAATCACCCTTGATTGTTGGGTCATTTACTAGTGCGCGTCTTTTATTTTGTTCATCTGCCTTGTAAACCAGCCTTATGGGACAATTTGTGGAAAACTACGGTTGATATGTGGGGGAATCGCGGGGAGAACCCCGCGTTTTCCACTTAGCTCCTTCCGGAACACTTTCCTCTCTGAGCCACTATATGTGGTCATCTCTAAAGCGGCTACTTATGTTGGCTTCCGGATACTTTCCGTTAGATTAAACCAGAATGAGGCACAAAAAGTGGGATGACATATTGTAAAATACACCGGACAAGATCTTTCCATCCCCACCCATCTCATTTTTACACCATAACTACATCTTCCAGATGTCGTTCAATAAATCATAAACCCCAGCATCAAATCACTGCTTTCAAAATGCCTCGAGTTTTGATCACCGGAGGAGCAGGACTCGTTGGTCCCCTCTTTGCAACCCGTCTGCTGTCTGACCCCTCATATACTGTAATTCTCACAGATATAAACACGCCACCTATTCCTCCCAAAGCAAAATTTCCAGAGAACTGCCATCCAGTTCAAACCGACCTCTGTGATCCAGCATCTCTATCAAAACTTATTTCCGAATCTCTTCCCCTCGATGCAGTCTGCATATTCCACGGAATCATGGTAGGTGTCATTGAGTTATTTCATCCTTTGTTCCAGATGTTCAGACATATTGAGATATACCTCCCCTGAATCTAGTTTGAAGCCTGTAAAGATTCATACGGCAATGCTGATGTAGAAATCTTCTACTAGTCCTCGGGCTCCGAAGCGAACTTCGAGCTAGGCATGAAAGTAAACCTTCATTCCACCGCCGCACTTCTTGAAGCCCTCCGCCTCGCAAACAAAGAAGGTTCCAAGCCAATTCGAGTTGTATACTCCAGCTCCCAGGCAGTATATGGCAATCCGCTTCCCAAAGTCATTGATGAAAGTGTACTACCAACACCGGAAGGCAGCTACGGCGCTCAAAAACTCATTATTGAAACACTTCTCAACGATTACACGAGGAAAGGATACTTGGATGGGTATTCTCTCAGATTCCCTACGATCACTATCAGAGGTGGGGCGCCAACACAAGCGGCGAGTAGCTTTATTTCAGGTATCATCCGTGAGCCGATGAACGGAGAGGTATGCGTGATTCCTATCCAGGATCGTGGATTTGTTTCTTGGATTTGTAGTCCGAAGGTTTTGGTGGAGAATTTGTGGCATGCTTTACACCTTGGTTCGGATGCTTTGCCGAAGCATAAGAGGGTTGTTAATTTACCCGGGTTCGGTGTTACCGTTCAGGAAATGATGGATGTTCTGGCAAAGGTGGGAGGTGAGGAGAAATTGAAGTTGTTGAAAGAGGAGAGTGATCCTGATATGGAGAGGATTCTGAGAAGCTGGGGAACGGAGTTTGATAATACTCTGGGATTTAGCTTAGGCTTCAAGAAGGATGAGGGGTTTGAGAGAGTGGTCAGGGATTATGTCGATGGATTGAAAGATTAGGTATCTGTCTCTGTTTGATTTTTTGATTATATTTCGAAGGTTGAACTAGCAGAGATCAAGGCCAATTTAATCAATATAACTGGCCAATCTTCAGAGGAATGGATAGTTAGAAACAGTGACCATTCTAATGAAGTGATGGTGACCTCACTCGGCAGACCTTCCCCATCTCAACCCACCCCACTATAACTTAGCGGGGTAAATTGCTACCCCACTTCGCGCAACTTCTCACATTCTGGTGCTCGGCGCAAACGCCGTCATACACCTGTAAACATCCGGAGAGTTTTGCCTTTATATTCACTTCATTTGTCATTTGTCTCCTGACTCTCCTTTCGTCCTTTTGAAAATATTTCAATACAAGTTGTACATTCCCCAGTTGCTTTTTCCCCTCTTGTACTCATTTTATTTTCGCGTTGCAAGTACATATACTACAATACACCAACACAATGGCACCATCAATGAAGGATAATCGAGCACTGAGGATGCTCCGGGAGGCAGAAGAAGGAGGTTATGGAGTTATTGGTGTCGTATCCGTATGATTTTGATCTTCGGTTGCCATACAACCTTCTAACCTCAAAAGTACAATCTCGAAACAATCACAGCTGTAATCCGCGCAGCAGAAAAGAAAAACTCTCCCGCCCAAATCCTCCTCTTTCCATGGGCTCTCCACTACTCCCCCCTTCTCATCTACCTCGCCTCAGTGGCCTGTAAAACCGCCAAAGTCCCTGTAGTCTTACACCTTGATCACGCGCAATCTGAAGCCGAGATAGTCGCCGCAGCCGAATACCCCTTCGACAGTATCATGGTCGACATGTCGCATTACGAGAAAGAAGAGAACTTGGAGAAGACGGCAAGGATTACGAAAATGTTACACGAGAAGGGCATTGCGACGGAAGCCGAGCCGGGACGTATAAATGGAGGCGAAGACGGAGTGGCTGACACTGGGGATCTGGAGGGGCTATTGACCACGGCCGAGGAGGCGAATGAGTTTATTGCTACAGGCATTGATTTTCTAGCACCCGCCTTTGGGAATATCCATGGGAACTATTGGGGTGTGGAAAACATCAAGTTGGAGTATGACAGGTATGTCTTCTCAAATCTAGAAGTTCCCTTCAGATTCCAAGCTAAATGTCCAAAAACAGATTAGAGTCTATTCGCGAAGCATCCAGAGGAAAGGTTCAACTAGTTCTTCATGGCACAAATACCTTCCCAGATGCCACAACACAGCAATGCATCAAAGGCGGCATGACAAGAATCAACGTCAACGACCTGGTGTTACATAAATATAATGATTTCGTCGCAAAAAACACGGGTAAGATTCCTTTGACGGAATTAATGGGTAAGGGAACAGACTTGATCCAGGAGTTGTGTGAATACCAAATGGATGTTATGGGTTCTAGTGGAAAAGGAAGTGTTAAATACTAGCTGAGTATCAACCCAGAGAAGAATAGGCGAAGAAATGGAAGTAGACAAATGATATCACATATTCTTGTATCAATAGAGTTTGGTCATCGCAGTCATGATCGAAATTATCTATCCGCGTGAAAGGAGTGAATCTCCCCACCACACACGTTTATAACCCGCGATAAGCCAATCAATAATATAAAACTCAGTACGTCTGGTTTTAGGTCCGCTGCGCTCTGTATATCAGGAGTTGGATTTTTTTGCTTTTTCTTTTTGCTGTTTTTTTAACTCTTTTTGGGAGGACAGGGGTTTGTAATGGCACTGGTCGGTGTCTTGAGAGTTGGCAATGTAAGAGGAGTGAATCCTATTTTCGTATTTCAGAAGAGCGAAGAAAGCATGGGGCTGTGACTCATTCAATGAGCATTGATTCACTGTGTTTCTGACTCCGCATCTTCAAGCTTGTTCATGTTCACTTCTTTACTTGTGTGAATAGTACTTAGTCTTTAGTGTAGACTCAAGAAGCCAATTATTGACATGCTCACTCACTCCTTTGTATTAGTGATTAACCCAAAACCAGACAGTGAAGTCCAGACTTACGCATATGAAAGTGTGGATTGGAAATGTTTTGTATTGATCATAGTAATCAAGATTCAGCTTCTTTGTGTCTTTCTGAATAATACAGACAGCCATAGTTACAAAAGAATGTGTTGTTACAGGTGCGAGTGTGGAAGACCTGCCAATGCTTGTAAACTGACGATCAGATTGCCTGACCATGTGATGATAATCTTGAAACTAGAAGGAGGTTATTCGCTTTGAATTGACATACCTCTGTGAGCTTTCTAAGATCTCTAATAGAGTGTTCATATCCTTTTGATCATCTTAGATTATCCAATTGTCTCTTGCCATTATAAATTAGAGAACTAGGTCATTGTGTAAGATTACATTTCTAAGATACAGCAGGAAAGTTTTACCAGAGAGGCGATGCGACGATATAGATGGTGAGCTGAAATAGAGAGATGTAAGTACATGGTGTTTGCTAAGCAGCATAAAAACAACAAAGACAGATTAACCGCACTATGTGGGTGCCTTTGAACATTGTATGTGTTGTAAAGAAAATCGGAACGGATTATTGTCTCCAGGACCATGCTTCTCATATTTGTTAATTCCGCTAGTGACCTAGTCGAAATCTTCGAATAACATACATAGAATGGTTAGACCACTCGTCATCCTATAATATCCCCATTCAGCACAATACTGAACCATTTTCTGGTAAATGTTATAAAATTCTTGCAACTCAGCCTCAGTTATATAAACGACCCTGATGATCTTGAAACTTTCTCAGCTTGCCTCCTGTAAGCAATCATCAGCATGGTGGTTTCAGTTCTGACAGTCTTTTCTCCTTATTATACCATTCTGCTATTTCCTGTTTCCTACATTTAGAGATATCGCCCACATATTCTCACTTCTTGCTTAGGTATTCTCCATTTGTGCTGATAATCCAAACCCGAAATCTTCATAATACTATCAATTTTGGCTCTTCTACCTGTACCTTCCATTTCTGAGCCACTCTCTATTGTTCAATTTACGAGATATCCATTCCCAAACGAGAAACTCAGCCAAATGGATAGCGGAATCTGCTTCAATCATCCCAAGCACTGCAGCCACAGGAACTTACACGAGCTATGAAAAAAACGACAGGTTACTTCTCTACATCATACCAATTATTATACCATCCAAAAGGGTTAACATACCTCGGTAATAGATATCCTTTAAGCTCCGCTACATGTCTTAGAGGTGGAACTCCTCGGTTAGAACCAAATCTAACAACGAGCGAAATCACAAACGCTGGTTGCTACTGAAACATCCGTGCTTATTAAATGCAGTCGCAATTAAGCTAGATTGTTGATATAAAAGTTTCCACAAAGGTACAGTACAAGTATCTTGTCGTCGAGTAGAAGCGGACTACACTTCAAGATCTATCCTTGATATTGGGGTTTTACAAAAATGAAAACCACATTAAGATATGTTTCAAAAGATTAATTCGCTATTTTATATTGTTTTAATTTGCTAACCCGAGATTTGAACCGTGACTCGCTGGTGTAAGAACCGAATGCCCCCTTTTTTTAGAATTGCAAAGCGGTAAGATAAAAATTCATCCTGTTCTCTGGTTTTGATTCTAATTTTAGTGGCAGCTAAGTTTTTATACCTGAGTGTCAAAGATTCAAATCACCTATCTATGCCTTTTACTACTTTAGCATGTTTTGACACCCATTGGTGACAGTATTTCAACTTTTGAAAGTCTTTATCTCTACCCCCCCCCATATTATGTGCAATATATTTGGCAGTGACTTTCTTGAGTACGTATCCTGTCAACACACAAAACTAATGTCATCTTAGTCCACTGCAAGCCCAGCGTCCCGGTATTTCCTCTCCGTACTCGAGTAGAAAGTACAGTAGCAACATGAGTACAGAGCCGGATCCTCAAACAGCTATAATTTCGAGACCCTCATTTTCACTTCCGCTTGGGCATCAATCACTCTCACTCGCCTTCCCTTCGCTTAATCGCGGCCAACCTATCTCCCGTATGCGGCCCCCACTTCATGCTCCGGCCATAAGCTCTCTTGCATCACCCACCAAATTCATTGCCTTCCAATAACGGGAAGCTTCCATGCATGTAACGTTAGTCAAATTCGTAGTACAGGATATATCTAGCAAGCTTTCTCCGAAGCCAATCACTCGGTGTTTCTGGGCTTGGATGGAAAGATCAGCAATCTTCCCGATTATTCCTATTCATTTTCTAACGCCCCTCTTCTCCCCGTATATCTGGCTATGTTGATGGTTGTAGCATGGTTCATACTCCCGTTGTAGAACTGGTTTCGGTTAGGGCGTCAGAATAAATTTTTGTTTCCTGTTCCTGTACTGTAGCACGGGTACAGACCCTGAGGGTTACAATGCGCATTGGGTTCCAGAAAGGGACTTTTCAACAGGGAAAGTTCTCGAGATCGACACGAATATGATTATAAATATGAAAGATGACTGCAGCGGAAGATTCTAGCACATGTGAAGAACACTTTTGTGTCGCATTCAGCTCAACGTTTCTTGGCAGGCAGGCGTGTTTACCAAATAGGCGATCTGGAACTTATACAGCTACAGATTTACAGTCATACTTGATGCTCTATTCACTACTCCGGAATTTTCCTATTGAAACCGACCGCCATCGAGTCCACTGGCCTCGAGATTAAAATCTTGGCCGTCCAAGTCAGGATTCTTAGTGTCCAGCAGACTCATCAATTGCCGATGGTATGAAAATCTCGAACCTTCTAGCTGCACTTGTAAATACGAAGTGTGTGTAGAACAATTGCCGATCACTTTGTTTCCATGGTTGCCAATTGTATGGCTATCGACACTTTCCCGCCAGCCAAGGTTCACAAATTCCTCATACAGAAAAGAAATTTGTGTTATTTAAAGAAACTTGCTATCTACACTAAAGAATTCCACAAAGATCCAGAGAACGAGCGCAAATTGTTCAGTAATTCCAAATTCCCGAGATCGCAATTTTCCCACTCTCCACCTAAAACATCCCCGCCTTCAACAATCGTAAGGGAATCTGTCGTGTAACCCATGGTTCTTTCACCTACCTACATTTCTGAACATACACCCTACTACCACTTCAATTTCCCCGCAAGAACAACTTTGCATGTAACAGATGCCAGCTCACAGACAGAGCTGGGCTCCAATTGCAAGCACAGAACATATCTTTCATAGGGCTATCTACTGCTTGACGTTGCACGTGTATGCGACCTGACAGTTTTGATGTAGTATGACAGTTGTGGGGTACAGTTGCTGTGTAAATAGGCTATGTTGAACCCCATACATGATGAAGCATGTGAAGTCGAAGGGTAACAGATGAGGGTGCATGTGAGGAGGTTACTTCCTGGAACTGGGTCAACTATCGTGGTTTTGTATCTATGTGAGAGGCTCGCGATTCCCAAGCTATCTGACAAAAGGTAGTTGTTGACAGCTCTTCAAAAAGCTATTCTAAGTGTAGCAATGTCGTTACTAACTTAAACCACATAAACCCCGATTGGGAAGTTTGCAACAAAAGACCGCTGACGACTATGCAAAAATAGTGTGATATCTTCTAGATTATCATTTTTGTTACCCGAACGACAAAACTCCAACTCTGGACCTTGAAAGTATTTGCAAGCAGTCAAAATTCTTCAGTGCCCTTTCTAGGAAAGACACGTCTAAAATGGCCCCAGTAAGACCATATTGCCCCAGCCTCTGTAATCAACCGTTTTCAGTAACAGACCCCGCAAATAGACATACCCTCTTTCCCTTGCCTATCGCGTTACACATACGCAGTGAAACCACATCTTTCGCTTTCGAAACTCCCATCACCACCCTTCCTCCTGCAGCTGTCAACCTCCGAATTTACCGAGATTGCCCGCTTTTCTCAATCAGAGGCAGAAAAAGACGTCTGGGTCTTTATGAGTTGCCTGAAGAGATTGCCGCTGCTCCCACATACGAGTTTATATTTTCCAAGCCATCTGCGATGTTGAACAATGCTGAAACCGACCAGTTCAAATACCAAAAACTGAGATTATAGACAATTATCTCTATAAAACGATACAGGGAACTAAGTGATTCCTCATCAATTCCGCAATCCATGAAAGCTCATTCAGGAGGCACAAAAAACATATGTTAATGACACTACCCGTACTGTTATCTAAGTTCTGACCTCATTTTTGCATCTTTAATTAACGTTGGTTCCACGATGCTAATGATCACACCCACTCACGTTTCCCTTGCCATTTCCCCTTATTCTCAGGGCACCATCAGTAATCCATTGTAATTCTGGTGCACATGTTGACTCCTACGAAGCTAACGATATATACTGACTGTAACACTAAAAGATATGATATGCATATAGACAACATCAACAATTCGCTTTTCTGGGTTCACCAATTACGACTTTGTATTTCCTCGATGTCTCTTCTTAGCAAGATTCCCTTGCCAATTAAACCCTTCCATACAAAATGCTAAGTAACTTGTTTTCCCAAAAATTAC